CAGCCCCCCATTGTCGCGCGAGGAGTGAGGGGGAGGAGAGGGGGAGGAGCGGGGCGAAGGAGTTTTGTTTGAATTATGCGGCGCATTAGGAGAGCCGCGAGTGCGACGCACTCGCAAAACTTTAACACAAATTGAATTATGCAGTCGTCGAGCGAGCTCCGGGCCGTGGACCGAGTGGGCGTGGCTGGCAGAAGGACATTGCCATTAAGCGAGAGCGGATCGAGCCCGCAGACAGCGCAGCTGACTTTGGCAAATGTAACTGTAATTTATTGAAATTTGTTGGCGCCGAGCAGCCACGAGCGCAGACAGCAGCAGGCGGGAGCAGCAGGCGGGAGCAGCAGCAGGAGTAGCCACAAAGCGGAGGCGCACCCGCCCCCTCCCCTCTCCCCTGTCATCCAAGCCAAGGCAAAAAGTTTTGGTCACGTTTTTTGTCACGCCGTCGCCGCTAGTCGCCAAAAATAGCAGCGGCGGTCAACAGTCAGACGCTCTCATAGTTTTAGTTTTTTGCTACGAGTCCACTCAGCCACTCAGCCACCCACGCCCCCGCGGCTCCTCCTGCCCGCCCTTGTGCGTGTGGAGCACCTTCGTTGCGTTTTCGGCTTGCTTATATACCCTGAACACATTGAAAATGGGAAATCAGGGTATAATGGTTTTGTGAAAAGTATGACTCCATAAAGTACATATATTCTTGATCAGGACGACGAGCTGAGTCGCCTAGATCTCAGAAGTTATAAGAGCTAGAGAGCTGAAATTTGGCACGCATACTCGTGTATACCATACGCAGTACAAGTTTGTTTTATTTTTTCAATAAATCATTCGATAACTTTTTTATCGAGAATGATCGAAAAATTTATTTTGTTTTTTTAGACTCATTTGAATACTATAAGAGCTGAAGACTTTAGATATACTGTGTATATACATAAAAGGATTACAAACATTTTGTAATTTACAGATTTTGGATACCACGCCCCCATCGCCACCAATCTGTAAAAAACCTATTTCAAATACTAGAGACTAGTGCAGAATGGAGGGTTCAAGGTATCTCCTAGTCGAGCAGTCTCGACAAGAGCCTTCTTCCTTGTTTTTGTAATTCTGCTTATGCGCAGTCACAAAAGTGAAATGAGTATATTCGTTTTCGACCGTCTTTCCCTCCGTTCGGCTGTCCCTCCGTCCGTTTGTTCGTTTGAATGCAATTCGCTGTTATTTAATCTAGAGAAGGCTTGGAATTGCGTGCACATACCCCTTGTATACCCTCGACTTATAAGGTGTCAACATTTTCCTTAACCGCCTACCAGGGGCGTGGCAAATCAGTAAATACCTTTTGTCCTTTTTGTATCTCAAAAAGTATGGAAGGTAAAGTGCTAAAGAGTCGAAATTTGGAATATATAATCGGACTAATAACTCACAATATATGAGTTATGGTAGCTATCCGTTGTGGGCGTGGCAAGGCGTTTAAAATTGTATTCTCTACAGTCTAAGAACTAGACACTCCATATTGAACCACATAATTAATATATGCTTTTGCCAATTAGGGGCGTGGCAGATTGGAAGTTCCAACTGGGAAAGTTTGGGCCATGATTGAGTATACCGCAGTCAGTAGCACCCGACTGAAATATTCTCTCGGTCTGTGTGTGTGTGTGGAGGGTTCGCCGCACGCGGTATTCAGTCAGCGCTTGTTGTTGCAATATTTCATACACTCACTTAGCAGCATTATGAATATTAAAAGAAAGAGCTTTTTGGCAAGAGCATACTTAGCCTGCGTTACGGCTCAACATGAACACAGACACAAATGATCTCTGTGTGTGTGTGTGTGTGCCTTTTAGGATTACAACTCATATAGCTCTTAATATTATATATAACTACATTTCTATATAAGTATATTCATATGTATATGTTATTTTTATTACAATATAGTTAATAAAGGCAAAGAATGTAAAAACAAATAAGATAAAAAAAATTATCGGATGGGTTATTAAAATATATGCATACCAAATTTCAGCTCTCTAGCTCTTATAACTTCAGAGATCTAGGCGGTCATACGGACGGACGGACGGACAGATGGACAGGGCTATATCGACTCAGCTTGATCAAGAATATAAGGGGTCTGCGATGATTCCTTCTGCCTGTTACATACTTCGCACAAAACCATTATACCCTGATTTCAGGATTGAAATGCAAAATATTGATGATAATGAAGATAATTGTAAAATCAACGTTAGGAAGCTCATGCTCAATGAAATTAAAGTTCCGAGCGCTATAAACGACTTCGCTTGTAACGCTCGGCCGGTTACTATGACGATAACTCGATCATAATGGGAAAAACTTAAATGAAAGGTCCTCCGATTGGTTATAGCACCTTAAGGGCATAATGATGTAAAATCGTCCGTCTCTTGAGCGTCGTTGTGTGTGTGTATATGTAGTATATATGCATATATTAAGCATATGTATATTCATATGTATATTTATAGCAAAATCTAGCTAAAAGCATTTATGAATCCGGCTATAAGGGCTCCGCTTATAGCGTCCTTCCCTTGAGCGTCTTTATAAGCGGATTCTGCTGTATTTAGTCGTTGCATAAAGCCGACGTCCAAGCTCAGCTCTGTCCATATTTCTAGTTGTTCCAAAGACCTGCTCAATGGGCGCATAATAGTGCTCCACCTTGGATAAGATGGGGATTATCTTAGAGCCAGTTGGAGATCCAAGTGGAAAGCCCAGAGCTATGGCCGTAGGTACGGGTAAGGGCATCAGCAACGTCAGCTATGGCTGCGTTAAAGCGTTGCTCGCATTACAGTTGCCGCCTCCTGCTGGCTGCTGTTCATTTAATTGCTGGCCCAACGCCCCTGCGAACCGGAGCCGCCTCCTCCAGTTGGCGCCTCCAAAAAAAAAGAGAGAGCGAGAGAGCAAAAAAAGGGAAAGTTTGCAGCAGCAGCAGAGGCAGAGGCAGAGGCAGCAGCAGCAGCAGCGGCAGCAACATCAGTGGCCGGTGGTTGCATGCGCAAAAGTTTTAAGTGCCCCACTTGGGCAGTGGCTCCGTGTTTTCGGGTAACCCACAGCGCCTGCCGCTGCCACCGCTGCTGCCGCTGCCGCCGCTGCTGCTGTTGTCCGCAATTTCGCTTGTCTTGCATACGCTGCGCTTTTCTATTAAGCAACCCGGACTCGTCTCATTTGTTGGCCATTTGTCCGGGGCAGCCTACGTTGTCCCGGTCCGACATCGTAAAAATGCCAATGAGCCGACCTGAGCGCCGGGCATTAAAACTTTTCTCATTTATCAGACGCCGTTGGGGCGACGCCGCCTATCCGCCCGCCCGCCTCCACGCCCCTCCTGCTGTGCCTGACCATGACGGCCGACAGGTAAATTGATTGTCGCCGCCAACGAACTTCGATGGCTGTTGGTCACCTTCGCTGTTGGTCGCGCTCCCAGACCGCCCGCTGTTTAATTGCTGTAGTTGTAGTTGCGCTGGCAGCGGTCGGGGCGTCAATTTTAAAATCGACAACAATGCCCAGCTAAAGTTTTGCCGCACCCGAGAGCGGCCGGAGTCGGAGCAGCTGAAGTTGTAGCTGGTTAATGGCCAGACAAACGAGCAGCCGGACAAGTGGCTAATGAGCAGCCAGCGGCTTGAAAAACAGCTCCATTTACGGCAACAGCCAGCAGGGGCATATGCAACGTCAGTGGAGATGGAGAGATGGACTATCGATAATTAGCAAAAGAAAATATATACAGTCATGTATCGATAAGTGGACATTAAACAATCAAATGTGGCAGGAGAAGTAGGCAGGAGCAGTGCAAGATATCATAGAGGAGATGTAGCAGATATAAGGAGTTAGATGACAAGTTGAAGATCTGGATTAGATACTACTGGTAGAGCTATGGATGAGGGGTAACTTGATATATGTATAGACATTTGAGATATCGCATTGATAGGCAAAGCACATACCACTGGAAATTATATTAAGAGACTAATATCGGATTCTGGCACATGTTTGACATTATCAAGTTATCGATAATGATATCGAAAGGGAAATGGAACGAAAATATTATTAAATTGCCGTACTGGGACTTATATGCATATAGTAATAGAAATTTGACCATTCTCTTGCTAGATTGTGGTAGACAAAGGTCAAACAGATGGACAGATGAGCAGATGCACCTACGGCCGGATGAGCAGACGGAGAATTAAACCGACTGACAAATAACCAGACAGTTGGGCACACGTCAAAACAGATGGACGGAAGGGATGTGGGACGTTCGGAAGAATGGACTGACGGATAAGTAAGCCGACAGTCCGATAGACGGACAGCTTGTCGGACGGATGAATGAAGAGGCGGACAAATAATCAGACAGTCGATGAAATGGACGAACAGGCTGACGGACAAACGGACAATTGCGATACAGAAGAGTGATACAGATGGACTGGCAGACGGACAGACAGACGGAAAGATAGCTAAAAGGACAGAAGAACGGATAGACGGCAAGATAGGCGAATGATAGGCAGACGCATGGATAGATTAACGGAGAGCCAAACGTATAGACGGGCGGATAGACCAACGTACAGACAGACATACGTCTGGTTACACAGATTCAGCTCTTCGCCCTGCTCACGATTATGCTGTAGTAACTATTTATAGCGACGATCCCTAGAGCCTCGCTATTACCATATATAAAGCTTACCCTGGGACCAGAATATTCGTCTCAATAGCTGTGTGAACGTTATTAACGGAGGAAGGAAGAATCTAATGTATATATTTGATACAGTGTGCCACGCCCCATTTCACCTGAGCCCGAACTACACCTTAAATAGAATTGGGATTTTCCTCTCAGTTGTGTATATGCCGCAGATGCTTTATTAATGGATGAATTTACATATCACATTTAGCAGAAAGGAAGGAAAAAACAGTTAAATTGCTTGCAGAATTACATATATGTATGATAAGTGTGAGGCCCATAAGTGTTGTGTGTGTGTGTGTGTGTGTGTGTGTGCGTGTGTGTGTGTGTGTGTCATTATAAGATCTTGGTGATTAAGAGTGTGTGCTCAGGCAAGTGGATGAGATGAGAGGGGGGAACTATCTAACCGTCCAGCTCGCCAGCGGCGCAGGCATCGTCATAGGTCTTGGTGCTCTTGTCCTCGGGATTGAGCTTGATCATGTCGTCGATGCGCAAAATGGTGATGGCCGCCTCTGTGGCGAACTTGAGGGACTTGATCTTGGAAATGGCCGGCTCCAGTACGCCGGCTTTCTTGTTGTCGCGCACGACGCCGTCGGTGAGGTTGAGGCCCACCCACTTGAGATGCCCATAGGTGGGATTGTTTAGGCTCGAGTTGTGGAAGGCGCGCAGCCTGGCGACCAGCTCGGTGGCATCCTGGGCGGCATTGACGGCCAGGGTCTTCGGGATGACCAGCATCGACTTGGCGAACTCCATGATGGCCAGCTGCTCGCGCGACGACAGCGACGTGGCGTAGCCCTCCAGGTAGATGGAGAGGGCGGCCTCTATGCAGCCGCCGCCAGCGACGACCTTCTTGCTCTCGAGCACACGCTTCACCACGCTGAGGGCGTCGTGGACGGAGCGCTCCATCTCGTCGCAGTAGGAGTCGGTGGGGCCGCGCAGTATGATGGAGACGGCCGCGCGTGCCTTGGGGCCCTTGATGAGGATCAGATCGTCATCGCAGATGCGCTCCTCGACCACCTCGGCGGCCTCGCCCACCATCGAGGCATCGAAGCTCTCCTCGCCGTCCAAGTTAGTCAGCGAGCTCAGGAAGGTGGCACCCGTGGCCCGGGCAATGACCATCAGATCGTTCTTCTTGACGCGACGCACCGCCATGGCGCCGGCCTCGACAAAGTACTTCATGCAGAGATCATCGACGCCGCCACTGCAGAAGACGACATTGACGCCGGTCAGCAGAATCAGGGCGATGCGCTCCTTGCTGATGTCCATCTCACGGGCACGAATGGCCTGCAGCTTGTCGGGATCGTTGATCAGCACCTGGACGTGCACCTTCATCTTGGTCTTCTGCAGGCCAAAGTCCAGGCACGCGATCTTCGCATTGACCACCCGCTTGGGCATCTGCTGGGAGGCCAGGGCGCAGTTCAGCGCATAGCCCTTGAACATCATCGATTCGCGGGCCGACTTGCCGTGGGCCTTCAGCACATTGATCGAGCTGATGGCGTAGCCCGGCGCCGACTTGTCATCCACAAACTGGACGGCCTGCACCGCGCTCACGATCATGTTGGCAAAGAAATCAGCATCGGCCCCAATGATCTTGGAGCCGATCGCAGTGCGGGCAATGCTGACCACGGACTCGCGGTTCAGCGACTCCACGGGCACGGTCATACGCTCGGATATGAATTTGCAGGCCTCACGGCAGGCGAGGCGATAGCCCGATATAATCGAGGTCGGATGAATGTTCTGCTTCACCAGCTCGTCGGCATTCTGCAGCAGCTCGGCGGCCAATAGCACCACGGAGGTGGTGCCGTCGCCCACCTCGGCGTCCTGCAGCTGGGCCAGCTCGACCAGCACCTTGGCCGCCGGATGCTCCACCTCGAGCAGGCGCAGTATGGTGGCGCCATCATTGGTAATGGTCACGTCCCCAATATCATCGACCAGCATCTTGTCCAGGCCGACCGGACCCAGCGAACTCTTCACGATATTGGCTATGGCCAGTGCGGCCGTAACGTTCTGAGTGCGCACGGAATCGCCGGACTGACGTGTCCCATCGATAGACAAAGGGCTCGATATAGTCGACATATTTCGTTTACTTTTACAAATCGAATGCAAAAAAATTTCACAAAAAATGAAAAATCACAGAAAAAAATTGGATTTTTTAGAAAATTTTACTTTTTTTTCGAGAAATTTAACCCGTACTGCTCGCTGCTGCGCTCAGTGAGAAATGAGAGAAATGGGGACGGCAAAATATGACAGCAAATTCCGATTAAAAATCGCTCGCCTACTTAAATCGAGCGAGCGATGCCAGGGCTGGGCTGGCATGGCCTACTCTGGTCTCGCCTGGCATTTGTTTACAATTAACCGAGGGGCGTGCCCTGGGCGTTGCATGGGCGTGCCGGTGCCCACAATTCGCTTAATGAATTCGCGCATTAACAGCGCGGCGTCTCTTTACGGCCGTAGCCGTTGTTCGACGCATTTGCCGCGCTAATGGCAAAAACAATAAATTTTCAACGTACCGAGAGGGGGAAAAGGAAAACACACACACACACACATATATATATACATATATGTGTACATGTATACGGCTCGCAGCTGATGCATCCTTACCCAATGCCGTTGATATCCTTTTGATCCCTTTTTTGTAAATGACTTTCAGCATTTAAAATGCGGCAAAATGAATTGGCGGCAATTCCCCGAACAGCGTGCGCCTGCGGCCAGGATCGACAGCGGCTGGAGCGGGTCAGAACGCTTTAGTTTAATTAACAACAACTACAGCAACAACAGCAACAACAACAACAACAGCAGCAGCAGCAACAGCCAAAAAGAAAGAACGCAATGGAAGATGCCTAGCGAAAAAAAAAATAATAATAAATAATAATAACAGTTAATGCGATGCGCCAAGTGTTGATGGGCGTGGCACGGGTCGAGAGGGTGTGCAGCCCATGCCACGCCTTGCTGCACATGTGTCAATTAATTATGCGAAGACGAGCACAGAGCACCAGAACAAAACAGTCGAGATACCCTGGAAGAGAAGTGCCAAAGCCAAAAGCTTAGACTGGCTGAGAACTAGAGGCCTAGAGGTGGCCAAAACCTACTCTATATATATATAGATATATTACTTTTAATATATACCTTAAATATACTAGAAATATTCATATGTAAATGTAATTTAATACTAAATACTTAACTGAGATTTCTACACTCTGAAGCTGAAAGCTATCCCAACTGGAGCTGACTTTACTCTGTTCATATACATATATTATTATTATAATTAATATATACCTTAAATATACTAAAAATATACATATATTACTAATATAAGAGATACTTAACAGAGGGTTTTAGAATCTACTGAAAGTAGCCGAGCTATGCATATAGCTATCCTAAAATATATTTATATGCTACAAACATTTACTTCAAATATACTAAAAATATGCATATATTATTAATAATATACTAAATAATTAACTGAAAATTTTAAGCTCTACCGAAGCTAGCTGAGCTATGCATAGAGCTATCCCAACTAGAGCTGACTTTGACTTTGACTTTAATGTAAATATATACCTTAAATATACTATAATAGCAAAATACAAAATATTTAACTGAGAATACTAGACTCTGAAGCTGAAAGCAATCGCAGCTAGAGCTGACTTTGCAGTGAAATATACTACAAATATACTGAAAGTATACTAAAATATACTGAAAATATACTAAAAGATACTGAAAATATACTGAAATATACTAAAATATACTGCAAATATACTGAAAATATATACTAAAAATATACTTGAAAATACATATAATAATATTAATATACTAAAGTCTAAGGTACGATAAGATAAGGTTCTACTTGGCCAAAAGAGTAGAGACTAATGTTGACAGATTCAGATAAGAAGCTAATCCAACTTGATCTGATTTTACTTCATAATTTTCATAATAAGACTACAGATATATGTATAAACACAGTAGAGTCCGGTTATAAGGACTCAAGGGACCGTCCATATTCATCTAAGTTGCTCTGTTCGTACGGACGTTATAAACGGAGTCGTTATAACCTGCTTCTACTGTATATTCATATATGTGCCAAATACTTACTTAAGAGAATTCCAGATCAGCTTATAGTTGGCCAAGAGTCAGTTGAGCCTAGCTGAGCTGTGGCTGAAGCTAGTTCAACTAGAGCTGACTTTACTCTACGCACTATATGCACTATAAACAAATGCCTAACCGAAGATTCCAATTCAAGCTCTACTCCGCTTACAGGGTATTGCCCCAGTCAACCCATATTCCTCTCACGAAAAAAAAGGAAAAAAATCGCCACATGAAGCATGCAAAGTGATGCTGGGGCTTATAAACTACACTGAGTACCGGACAAACACACACACACACACACACACACACGCACACACTCACTCGCGCTCGTACACATACACTTTGATAATATCACGTTAATCATGTTGACGCGCCTCAGACGCAGCTGGCCCCGGACTTCAATGTAAACAACAACAAGGACTACAAAAGGCGAAAGTTCGCGAAGGCCGCCTTGAGATATTCCCACAATTAATTTAATGCTCGACGCTTTTTTGGGGCGCCGCCAAGCTGCATGAGTATGCGTGCGTACGAGTGTGTGTGCGTGTGTGTGTGTGTGTCGAGCTTTATATTAAGTAAAAAAATAAAATGCGTTTGATATAATGCTAAGAGCGAAACTTAAATTCAATGCTTAAAGTGCAAAACGCAATTCAGGAAGTAAAGGAATTATCTTATAGACAGGCCCAGGCATGCAAGACATATATGTGACTTGAAAGAGAATCCTTGAGTTGTTTTGTGAAGAACTCTTAATGGATCGTTTATACTCTGAACCCATTGAAAATGGGAAATCAAAGTATAATGGTTTGAGTGAAATGTATGCAACAGACCCCATAAAGTATATATGTATATTCTTGATCGGGGCGACGAGCTGAGTCGATTTAGTCATGTCCGTCCGCCTGTCCGTATGTATGAACGCGGCGATTTCAAAAGATATAAGAGCTAGAGACTTGAATTTTGTTTCTTAGGTTCGTGTATATCACGCCCAGTTTTTCTTCAAAAATCGAAATAAATGCATATCTGCAAGATATTTAAATGTATACTTACACATATGAATTTGACAGAATTTCGATTTTTGTTAAAATTTACCCCACACTCCTATATCCATCCCCTCACCCTCACATTTTTAAAAGACTTGTGCTTGGGCAAATACATATATATACATACATACATATATATTTTAATCATAATCTAACAATGACTTCGTCTCATGGAAATGATGTAAATTGTCTGCTTAATACTAAATAAACAGTCTAGGCGCATGCTTCTTCAAGTCCTGCCAAGTTTAAGCTCTGGTAGCTTTCTGCTTTTTAAACTTGCGCTCATTTACTGTTTCAATGCGGTTAGGATACCATCTGGCTTCAGACCGCGATCGAACCCATTATTGACAGTGGGCACCATCTTGTTGTGCTTCTTCATACACCTTCGCAACACTTTTGCTATTGCATCTCTGTTATTGGCACTTTCTTCACTCTTTGACACCGAGTCTAACTGATTCTTACGTGGATGACCCTGGAAACGAGAATCAATAGCTGGCGCATTGATAGTATATATAGGAAAACTTACAAGCGGATGTTTCGGTGTTTCGGAGTCTGGCCCTAGAATAGGTAGAGCCGCAGAAGCGACGACAGCTGAAAGTATGTGTATATATAGCACATAAATGTATGAATATAAATTAATGTAAATATCTAACACTTACGTCGCACATTCTTGACAGGAGAAGCCATTCTGTCTTCAAGCTAAATTAATTCACATCCAGTTAATATTGAAAAATAAAAAAAAAATTTTTTTTTTTAATTACCTATTAAATTTCCGAATTTCGTCTTTCCATTTTATCGTAAGACTGTTGACTTAAAAAATATGTTTAAGTCTATATCAAGATATTTGACAGCAAACAAGCGGACTACTAGATTGTTTGATAAATTGAAAAATGACTCAGAGAGCATACAATTGAGACGATCGCCCGTCGAGTTCGTAGGCACTCGGAAAACAACAGTTTTAATTCTATTCTAGTATTTTGATGAGCTGAGTGAACATCACACTAAGCATCTGTCCATCTGAGTGTGTGTTCGTCTAGTCTCGCAACCCATCAGAGTTACGGAGTAGAAATTTAATAATACCTGCACAGGGTTGTGCCTGCCTCTGGCTAAAGTTATAGGGTTGCCAGATAGATAGATCCGTTGAGTATAAGCAGCCCTGTCTATTATATGTAGAACATACCTGTTTCTTCTATTTGATTTCCTCAAATGTTTATGATTGCAATTCCCGGTGCGACGCTTTAAATTCCAAGTCTTAATTATCCCATTCACGTTCTTTCACTGAGTCCGGCAGCAAAGTTTTCACTACTTATGCAGTGCATCAGATTTCTAAACTCACACACACGCACACACACACACACTTGCTGCTGCTGTCAACTATCGATAGTCGAACTGGTTGTCCATTCGCTTCACTTGTTTCGCTTGCTAAACTTTTGTAGCTTGTTTTCCCCCAAAACACCGCCTCCGCCCCCTCTAGACCCATTGTCCAGCCCGTCGACACACGCCTTTACCTATTCACATGTCCCGCATTGTTCAGGTGCTTGGCCAGCACTTGGAACTGGACTGCTGTTGCCTGTCTATCAAATGCCATTCGTTCGTTGTCTGTTGCAGCCAGAGAACTAAAAAAAAATACCAGAAAAAAAACTATTGCAGCCCTCGCATCTGGGCCATGCTGTTTTGTGGCGCTTGTTGTTAGATTCTCTTTCTCTTTCTCTTTTTATTTATTTTTATATTTTTTTTTTTTAGCTAGCTCGACTATTTGCTTTGGTCGCCTTCGCCTTTGCCACGCCCCCCTGTCCGAGGTTATTTTTTGGGTTTTGTTGTCGGACGTCTGGCCGCCTTATTTATGTACATGTCGCATTGCATAGCTGAAGGGGCAGCCAAATGATACGACTACAAGTACATATACATACACATATATAGATATATATGTATATATTTATGTATGCATTTGCTGCTCTCTGC